GTTTTTCGATAATTTGAAATTTTTATTTTTTTTTTCCAAAACACTTAGAATATGTTATTTATGTTATATTGCAATATATGTGGGGTTAATTTCACAAAAAAAAAATAAAAACTGCAATTTGTCGAAAAAAAAAATATTGAAACAGTTCAAATGCGACAGCTAGCTGTCGAATTTGAACTGTTTCATTTTTTAAGTTTTTTCGATAATTTGAAATTTTTATTTTTTTTGTCCAAAAACATTTAGAATAAGTTATTTATGTTATATTGCAATATATTTGGGGTTAATTTCACAAAAAAAATAAAAATTTCAAATTATCGAAAAAAAATATTGAAACAGTTCAAATTCGACAGCTAGCTGTCGAATTTGAATTGTTTCATTTTTTAAGTTTTTTCGATAATTTGAAATTTTTATTTTTTAACACTTAGAATATGTTATTTATGTTATATTGCAATATATTTGGGGTTAATTTCACAAAAAAAAATAAAAATTTCAAATTATCGAAAAAAAAAATATTGAAACAGTTCTAGCTGTCGAATTTGAACTGTTTCATTTTTTAAGTTTTTTCGATAATTTGAAATTTTTATTTTGTTTGTCCAAAAACACTTAGAATATGTTATTTATGTTATATTGCAATATATTTGGGGTTAATTTCACAAAAAAAATAAAAATTTCAAATTATCGAAAAAAAACAATATTGAAACAGTTCAAATTCGACAGCTAGTTGTCGAATTCGAACTGTTTCATTTTTTAAGTTTTTTCGATAATTGAAATTTTTATTTTTTTTGTCCAAAAACACTTAGAATATGTTATTTATGTTATAATGCAATATATTTGGGGTTGATTTCACAAAAAAAAAATAAAAACTGCAATTTATCAAAAACACAACACTTAATAACATTGAAACTAGCACCTGTAACTTTACATAGTTTTGTTCGGAGAACTATCACCATTGTCTGATATAGTAATAATCTCGAAACTCTCTCGCATGGCAACATTTTGATATATTAGTTCTCGGAATGCTGTAATCCGACCATCCATTTCTGCAGGCTTCCAACCATCAGCTTTTGGATCATGGCATCGGTACCAATAATCGGCGATAGGAGGTATTGGACAATTGTTGTTCAAGACAACATGCACGAAGTGACAGTTGTCGACGAATGCCATTCCGTGCTCTTGTCTCTCTCTGAAAAGCATTGGATCGCTCGATAGAGGAAGGAACGTGAGACACTGATACTTGGATAAGTAGACAAGCACAATATTGTATATTGAAGCAATTACATGACCCATATTTGGAAAAGACATCCAATGGTCACGAGTGGCAGGAACATCCCAGTTACTCACAATAGTTTGCATGCTTCTAACAGTTTCTTCGCCACGGTGCATGACCGTGTAAGTGGAAAAATTAGAAGTCAACTCCCGTAGCATGTCATCTCGTACTCGACCCCATTCATCTTCTCCAAATCCCATCATAGAGGCAACTGCCCGAAATCCACAGTGTCCATCTGAATCGACATTGATGATTTCTCGAACATGCATACGAAATCGTGGATGGATCGTGTCAATGTACTTATTCTTGCCGATCAAACCTGGTGGCAATCCCACATCTGCATCTTCAAATAATAGTTTGAACGACTCTTGCGTCGGTATAGTGTTTTTTCCTGACTCTTCAAATGAGACGAAAGTAGCGACATTTACCTTTGGAGAACAACTAGCTTGCTTCGATTTTTTTTTTCTTTGGCTCCACATACTCAAAATGTGATTTGTCACGAGTGCTTGATTTGTCTTTCCTATTTTTTGCCGGTCGACCTTTGCTAACAACTTTTTCACTTGGCTCCGTAAGGTTAGTCTTCTCTGGGTGGGTAAAATGTCTCAAATGGTTGTGCAATTGAGTTTTTGCATCGAGATCGGCACATTCAAAGAGCTTCTGGTATTCCGATAATTCTTCGTCGATGGTTGGTAGGATGACTTTGTCTGTGGTCGCGACGGGCTCCATGCTCATGTGTTTCCAATACGAGCCTATTAACTCAAGTGGGATAGAACATTTGTTCACAACAACATATACTCATGAAGTTCATGGCAACATGGTAGACCGTGAGTTGTTCGGATGGCGCAACTACAACCCATATCGCTCGGTTGCAATAGTTTCGCATTGTCCACCTCAACTTTTAGTAGTTGCAGAGCGTATTTTGAGATACTTCCACGAAGCTCATTGTATATCAACGTTTTGAAAGTGTGTTCGTAAGTATTTTTACTTACTTCAAAATAAGCTTTGATGTCATTGTGTTGTTCAAAAATTTGGTTGTGCACTTTCGTATACAAATCCACAAATGTGCAGTTGAATTATGCACATCCCTTTTCATTCGTCCGTGTGCCCCCTCCACCCTATTAGAAGTGTACGTTCCAAAATGAGTACACTTATTTGTCCACACCTATACAAGTCTCTCCTTGTACGGATCCAACCATGAATTAGCTACATATGCTATAGCCGGAGGATAACCGATAAATGTTCTTTTCATTGACTCCCAATCCTCATTGAACTCCTCTATGGTATTTCTTTCAATAAGAGCCGAAAAAACCGACTGAAATTGTTTCCATTTGGTGATGTCCTTTGTGAACAATTTCTTACAATTGGCCACTATATTCTTGTTCACATGCCACCGACACAACAAGTGATGACTCGATGGATACACATTGGCCACTGCTTTCATTAAACCCAAATCTCGATCTGTTACAATGCAATTAGGCCGAGGACAACTGGTCATGGCCTCCTTCAAATAACGCAACGCCCATTCGAAATTTTCTGTCTTTTCGTGATCCAAGTATGCAAAGGCAATGGAGAACGTCATGTTGGTACAAGTAAAACCCACAATCTCAAGAAATGGGAGTCAGTAACGATTGGTCTTGTACGTGCAATCGATGACGAATACGTACGGATACGACTGTGCCAACTTAATGCATTTCGGGTGGATCCACAGCAAGTCAGTAATCGCATTCAAC